ATTCTGCCATTCTTGGTAATGGGTTCAGCCATAGTCCTTTAAGACAACACACCCAAGTCCACAGGAAAAATCATGTTGTCTGCAATTCTACAGCAAAACACACCTGGTGCTTTTTGGAGAACAGACCCCAACATGCGTCAAAGAAGGGAGAGTCCACCTGTCTGCGGGATAGCCCCCCTAGGAAGCACCTCTGAACTTCCTGACACCCCCAAAGGCTCAATCAGTGGTACAGACACTGGGAGCTGCCCATTCCTTGCTTCCTAATATGACAGGCAGGACCAAGAAAGTTCAGAACCTTCCTTCTGAAATATAGACTGGAAGAAAGTCAGCTGGGGTTGAGGAACCGGAGTAGTGAGTGAAGGAAGCACCCTAGGCCCCTCACTAGAGTGACCCAGAGCATTCCATAGGAATTCAAAAACTTCTGCAATCCCAAAGTCCTCCCCACCCTATGTCCCTAGCCCTTGAGAACAAGTTCATTCCGTTCCTCTGGTGCCTTCCCTGCCTGGAACTTCCTCTACCTCTTCTAATTGCTTCCCTGAACCTAAGGCTAACTCCAGACCACCCAAGACCTATCACAGCTGTGCTCCAGACCCTGCTGCACCCACTGGCCAGCCTGTCCCTCCCTGTATCCTTCACCCATCATAGTTCAAGGGCAATCAATGTGTTTCCCCAAGGCCACAGCTTTCCTATCTGGAGCAGTGTTGGAAAGTAGCCTGGGGACCGCCATGACTGGATACGGACAAGCCTCTGGTAAAGACTGTACCCAGCTCCCCTGTTTCCTAGTTGAATACTTTAAAACCAGCCTTCACCCCTTATCCCAGCCCTTTGGGCCTCGGTTTACCCATCTGAAAAGTCTGTGAGACACTGACTTCTGATAAGTGGAGATGCCATTGGGAATTATTGGCCCATGGACAGAGACCGTGAGTACATTCCATCCTAAGACAGGAATTTGAGGCAGGTGTATTCTACTCCTCCCTCACTTCTGCCAAAGCCACCCCCCTGGGAGTTTTCCTTACTGCTGTTTGCTTCCCCCACCCCACTCCCACATCCCTGCAACCCAAAGGATTTGTCCTGGTTGGCAGATCTCACCTGGAAAGAAAGTGACTCAGACCTCCAGGAGAGCTGGGATGAATCAGGGAGGCAGGACCGGGTATGGGGCTCCCACCCCAGAGTCCAGGCCTCTCCCAGCAAGAAGAGTACAGTGATCGCTGGGCAAGAGGGCAACTCTGCCGAAATGTGCCCCTGGCCAGTCAGTGGGGCACCCTTGTAATCACACTCCCGCATTCCAGGCCTGTCCAGACACCTTCCCAGTACCATCTTGTCATGCAGTCCTGCAGGGAGGCCAGACAGTCATATGGGCCTCCATTCTCTCTGCTGAAGGTGACTAGGGCCTTTTCCTGTCATTCTGGGGAACCAAAGGACACAGGACATGGAACAGCCGCTGGAGAACCTGTGGAGCATCGGGAGGTGGGAGCCCCGCCCTGCCTTTCCAGCTATGAGGCTCCATCTGTGACTGCCCATTAAGGCTCCATCCTTCTCTGCTGTCAGTGAGACCCCAGAGACAGATCCTCTCCCTCTTCACACCAAAGTTCCCCACCCAGCCACTGATCAAACATTGTGAACTCCAGCTGCTCCGAGCTGCCCTCAGATCAGACCCCAGATGCTCATAAAGAATCTCCTACTCCTAAATATCAGCCAAAGGCAGCTCCATCCTTCCAGGTTCTCACCTCTTCCCCTAGCCCCTCGGGCCCTACCTACAAAAGGGACCCAACAGCGTTCATTCCTTTGCTCCCTCTCTGAGGGGAGCCCCATGGTACTCCGAGCCCCATAGAGTACTCCCTTGCGGGTCTCTCGGTCTCACTCTTCCCTCTTTTAGCCCTGCTGGTGCTGGCAGAGGATTTTTGATAAACACAAAGTCAGACCAGGTCTGCTGAGTAAAAGTCATACCCAGAAACAGCCATTCTCCTTTTCTTAGGATAAAACCAACTTGATTTGAGAAACATGCCAAGGCCTCTCAGGTGCCTACTGGGCAGATGTGCTTCCCCAACCCAGCTCTGAGGAGTCATGTGGCCCCCTCCTCCATACTGCTCCCCTTCCCATCATGCTCCTCTTCCAGGACCTGCGCAGGTCTTCCCCCTGTACATGCATGTGCTTCCCTCTGCTCTGTCTGCCGGGTCATGAATGGAATCTGAAATGTGTCTGCAAGCTCATGTCTGACGTGCTTGTTCCCTGACTGGTGGAGCTGTTTGGGGAAGCTGTGGAACCTTTAGGGAGTAGGGCCTGGCAGACAGGAGTAAGTAGGTCATGTTGGAAGTGGCACCCTGGTTCCAGGTCTGCTGTGATGTGGACAACCTCCACCACACACTCCCACCTCCATGCTTGTTCCACTACCGTGGGCTGAAGCCCTCTGAAACAGTGAGCTAAAAACAATGCCCCCTTAAGTGGTTTATCATGTAGCATCATCCCAATGAGATCAAATTGATGAATACAGGCTAAACAAGACTTCCTGGCTTCTCTCTCTCTCTCTCTCTCTCTCTCTCTCTGTGTGTGTGTGTGTGTGTGTGTGTGTGTGTGTGTGTGTGAGTGTGTGTCTCTCTCTGTCTCCTCTGTGTGTGTGTGTCTGTCTCTCTGTCTCTGTAACACACACACACACACACACACACACACACACACACACAGAGTCTCCACTCTTGCTTTCATCTTTCCCCCATAACATGTATGAAATTCTAACATGATTTGAAGTTTGCCTGGCTATCCACTATGTTTACCGTTCTAAGCCTTTCCCTCTCCTTTGGACTGAGAGTTCCAGGTGGGCAGGGCTTTGGATCTGTAATGACCACTCCACATGAATCCTCAACCCTTGACCCAAGGAATGCACATAGCAGATAGTGAAGGAGAAACAAAAAGGGACGGAGGGATGAAGGGGGGAGTAGGAGAAGGGGGAGGGGAAGAAGGATAGAGGGGTTAAAGGAAGATGAAGGAAAGAGGTAGAAGAAGGAAAAAGGAAGGAAGGAATGGAGGGAAACAGAAGAAGAAAGGGAAGGAAAAGGAAGATGAAGGAAGAGAGGGAGGAGGAAGAAAGGAGAAAGGGATAGTGGGATGTAAGGGAAAGAGGAGAGAAGAAGGAAGAAATGAAGGGAGGGAAGAAGGAAGGAAGGATTATAATTTTCATCTGAATTATCTTTAACCTTGTTGCCCTGACATTCCCTAACTGGTGTTGTTGTTTTTTTATTGCCTCAGTCTCTTTATTTGCCAAGTTAGCTAACAGACTGACTGAACTGTATGTGACATGGCATGATTACACTCAGTAAACACTGGCTATTACTGTGACATCACCTGTACCGCCACCAGGAGGCAGGTGACCTGGTCAGGCTCTGTGGAGCTCGTTTCCAGGTCAGAAGATGCACCTGGGAAGCTGCTCCCCAGGTCCTCCTGCTCAAGATGTGACAGGCGCTCCCAGGCTGAGTGAGAAACAGGCTCCTGCTTCCAAGGGGCTCAAGCCGGCTCTGCTGCAGAGGGCCATGAGGGAAGCCAGAGGACACAGGCTCTGGAGCAGAAATAGGCCCAACCATTTGTGCCATACATGGATCCATCTTCTGGGAACTGGGAGTCAGCCATCTTTCCAGGCCTAGGACTGAACAAACCTTCCAAGTGTGCGCGCCATGCTCCAGCTAGCAGAAGGGATATGCAAATGAACCCAAACCGGAGAAATCATTAAATCCATCTTTGAGCCAGTGAGATGGCTCAGCAGATAAAAGGTGATTGCTGCCCAAGTCTGAGAATCTGAGTTCAATCTCAAGGACACATAGTAGAAGAGAACTGACTCCACAAAGTTGTCCTCTGCCTTCACACGCATGGGTACCATTGCACACACACAACCACACATCATAATAATCATAAAACAAATGTATTAAAAAGTCTCTTTGTTCAGGGAGCCTTGAAGTCCTGTGAGAGTCAAACCCAGGCCTTCACCACACCCAGTGAAGACCCAGATAAAGACAAGCCCACAGGGTTAAGAAAATCTGCCTAGGGTCCCATTTTTGGAAAGAAGTGAGGCTGGAGCCAGCATCCCAGCCAGTTTGTGACCCTCCACAGAGAGCTTCAGGGGAGCTGAGGCTGGGCATTCCCATTCACCTCACCAGAGGCTGAGACAGCTAGGACCCATTTGCTGTCTTTGACACTAAAAGGGCAGCTGTTCTGCACTCTGCAGCCTGAGGTTCCCTCCAACAAAAGCTAAGGGTGCAGGATCTGTGAACATCCCTGTTTCCCCTAAATGATCCAACAGACACAGGGTCTGAGCATCCCTGTGCCCCACTTGCTGATGTGATGGATGCAGGGTCTGAGCATCCCTGTGCCCCACTGGTTGGTGTGATGGACACACGGTCTGAGCATCCCTGTGCCCCACTGGTTGGTGTGATGGACACACGGTCTGAGCATCCTTGTGCCCCACTGGTTGGTGTGACAGATGCAGGGTCTGAGCATCCCTGTGCCCCACTGGTTGGTGTGATAGATGCAAGGTCTGAGCATCCCTGTGCCCCACTGATTGGTGTGATAGATGCAGGGTCTGAGCATCCCTGTAGCCCACTTGCTGATGTGATGGATGCAGGGTCTGAGCATCCCTGTAGCCCACTAGGTGATGTGGTCTACTTTATCTGCTTCCAAAAAGAGCAACAAGGTGGTTCACCACACAACATAAATGAAGCCTGTGGGAAACACAGGTCCCCTATCCTCTGGGGAGCCTGAGCCCTTCTTTTGGTTGATGGAATCCCACAATAAATCACACCCCGATTCTCTGAGTCTCTACCTGAGGCCAGCCTGGACCTAGTTCTGGTCTGCATTTGACCTTCTCCTGCCCTATGCACTGATCCAGGGGCAGGAACCCCAGGCTGCCTACAGGAAGTACTCAGTCCTAGGATGTCATGGCTGACTTTGGCACCTGCCCTTGTGCCCTAATAATGAGTCAGGCCTCACCAAGGAGAAAGCCTCAAGTGGCAGCAGGAGTAATTCCAAATGACTTAATTGATTTAATTCATTGAAAAGAGGAAAGGAAGCCAAGCCCTTCTGAGGGCAATCTACTGCCTGCTTGGGTCATGAGTGCTGCTGAGAAGGTCCCTAGCATGTGACTGCACCAAGGGACTCATCCCCCCACCCATGCCCCAGGTCCCCGTAGGAGGGACAGGCCCGCCTGGATCCTCATTGTCTCTGGAACACCAGCAACCAGGGATCACAGCGAGGCCGTCAAGTGGAACATCAGCAGTGGCTTTGTGACCTAGCACCAGAAAGCCAGGTCTGGGAAGATGCCAACCCTGGAAGCTTCCTCAACAGGGGAGGGCTGGGTCATGCAGTGCAGCAAGGATGGGAGGCGAGGCTTCTGATGGTGCAGAATCATGGAGAGGTTTGGGCTCTGGGCCCAGAGGTCCAGAAGCTGTGAGGAACAGTGATGGGCAGAAGAGTCCTCATAGGCTCTTCCAGGCAGAAACCCCTGCTCTGTAGAGGAGACGACTTCAGCTTCAGTGAATCACCCTGCAGGGGAAAAGTCCAATAAGAAAAAGTGTAGACTACCCACAATGCCTGACACAAGCCCCTGTAGTTTATCCCATTTACTCCTCACAGCTATACAGGTCGTGTCACTGGCCCTGTTTTATGGGAAACTGAACTCCAGAGAGGTTGGGGCTGGCTGGCATTTAGTGACGTGGGGCCCGTGAGGCTTGGCTTTGGATCCAAGCATGCAAAAACCCAGAGTTCAAGCTGTGATTGAACACTCTTCAGAGACTCCATGCCAGTGACAGACACAAACCCTGCTTGGACAAATGCAACAGCCTGATGGGCATAATGTGTTCTTTAAAATGCCTAGCCTAGGCTGGCCCTGGTGGTACATGCCAAGAGCAGAGCAAGATGGAGTTCTTCAAGCTGCAGCCGGAGGGACAGGAGAAAGGAGACTCCACCACGAATATCAATGAAAAGTAACCAGTGAGAGAGGACCAACAGAACCTACTGTCATATCTCCTCAGACTATAGCCAGTGGCAAGACAGGCAGGCCCCTCCCTGAGGGGACAGACATGTGCATGTGCAATGAGACACACAGCCCAAAACATCTACCTCTGTGACATGGGTCTTTCTGCTGCTAAGGCCTTGCCCAGCCACTGTGACTCTGTCTGAGCTAGTCAGTCCATAGCCAGGGTCAGGGCTTAGTCAAAGGTCAGGGTCTACAAGCCAGTTAAAGCCCAGTTTGAGGTCTCAGCTAGAGGTCATCTCCTGCTCAGCCTCTAAGCAGTGGGATGCATGAAGGAGGCACAGGGAGGTTCCATGGCCTAGGCCTAGATGAAGAGTCTGCAGTGAGTCATTAGAGTGACCCTTGGAGTGACCCCTGGAGTATGGCTGTCTGTAGGTCACCTGCTAGGGATCTGGTACAAGGTGGGGCTGGAAGTCTCCAGGGGTAGGCAGAAGCCTGTGCCCAGCCCTCATTCTTCCTAGCTGAGGTCATTCCGTGGGCCCAGCCACCCCAGGCCTGGGAGGGGAGCAGAGGTTCCGCTGCGCCTCCCTCAGAAGACCTATGAGTCAGAATCTCCAGGACTGCAGCTACTGGATTTCAGAAGATGGGGTACCCCACCACACTGCTGCCAGGCCCATACCTCACTGGACAGCTGAGATGAATCAGTTAGAGAACAGACATACTGACATACTGGGCATAATTCTCCCATAATTCTCCTCCTTTTTCTTCATTTCTTTTTTTTTTCATATAGTTTTAGAGACGGTCTCATGCATCCCAGCCTGTACTTGGACTTGCTATGAAGTAGAGGGTGGCCTTGAACTTCTGACCCCCTCCCCAGGTATGTATAGCCACACCTGGTTTATTTGGTATTGGGCTCATACCTGGGTCTTCAAGAAGTCTAGGCAGACGCCCTAGCCACTGATCTACAGCCCCAGCCCAAAGTGTTTCTTTTAATCCAATGATGTCACTCTCTACCTTGCAGGTAAGGAAACTGAGGCACAGCTCTGGTCCTTAAAACCCAGGTGGCTCGCCTCATTCTTGCCACCGTTGGTTGTAAGAAAGAGACCAACGTAAATCCACCCCATTCAAGAGGACCACGCAGTGACAAGAGTTGCCACGTGTCCCCATCTCCCACTTCCTTCCGTGGCTCAAAGAACAAAGCTTTGCAAGGTCATCGCAGGGTCACCCCCAGGCAGCTTTGGCAGAATCACTACTTTTCTTTGTAGTTGTCATTGCATTTATTTCTTTTGCCTGTGTTTGTGTGCGTGGGGCAGGGATGTGAGAGGACGGTGGCCGGAGTTGATTCTCACCTTCCTCCATATGGGTCTCAGGGATGGAACTCGAGCCATCGGCCTTGGCAAACATGGCTCCCCACCGAGGTGTCTCATCACTGGCCACACTGCTGCTGTTCTTCATCCTTGGCTTTTGATGCCGTCATTTCCATTGCTTCCTTTGGGCCCAGGGCTTCGGCAAGGCAGCTTGCTCTGAGAGAGGTACCCCACAGGCTTTCCTGGCTTCCTAGGAGGATTGGTGAGAACAGCAGCAGTGACAGGGTGTTCCCGGAGTGTGGGATAGCTGTGGACCTGAAGGCAGCCTACAGAATACAGGTTCCTGGGGGTGGTAGGAACAGGCGAAATGTGTGGACACCGGGGCATTGCACTGGACCCACAACTTCTCATTTGTGCTGAACGTCATTGTCCCGGGCACTCAGAGGAGATGTCCAGGGAATTAATTCTACCACTCACGAGGCATGCTCTGAGGAGGTATGACAGTGGGCACTGTTGGCCCTCTGCCTCTGGTCCACTTCTCAGTGTTGGTGGAGCCTCCCTTTCCCAGGCCTCTGGCTGTAGATCTCAGAGTAGACCCAGGCTGCTGACCTCCTCAGGTCCAACCCCTTTTGCTAACATTCAGAGTTGTCCTCTTTGCTATCCTGCAATGGAATTCAAGTGTAACATAGAGAAAAAGTCATCACTACACTTTAGCTGATATAGAGGAGGGATGAGAACTGAAGCAGCTTTCACTGGAGCCTGGGTTACAGCTGCAGGGGGTCAGCAGGGCCACACCCAGGTAGGCAGCAGGTGCTACTGACCCAGAGGACTGTGGTTGCTCCTGCTGGGAGGGAGTGTGTTCTCCACTGAGGTTCCCAAAACCCTCAGAAGTGGTAGGTGGCTCTCAGCCAACCACCAAAGAAACCATGGAATATTTTCCCTCAATTTACCTGGCAAATCTTAAGCAAGAATGAACCTATAAAATAGAGTTAGAGCTTGGGACTGGATAATAAAAAGCAGGTTTTTCACCTCCACAATTGACTGGTGGGACTATAGGGGTCATGGAAGGGACAAACTCTCTATTTCCAACAGCTGCTGCCTAACTCTGAAGTTCCAGGTCACCACTGACGTCAAAAATGTCCATGAACCCCCCCTGAGAGACAGTGTGTGGAGGCTTATGACTGCAGCTTCCTCTACTGGCCTCATTGTCAATCATTACTGTTCAGTGGGACCTGAGGGCTTAGGGAAAGTTTGCTCAAAGCTGGTCATTTTATCACTTGTCAGCCTGGGGACAGCATGAACTGCCGGCTTAGATAAAGGGAGGATGGAAGGTCCAATTACCAGATCCACAGTACTAGATCCATGCTGTGTCGTGACGCTATGTTCTGATGAGTCCAAGCTGCTCTGAGGCTGTCCTTTGGTTATGCTTCACCACACGTGTCCAGACGGAAGAAGAAATGACATTTCCATTTGCAGAGCTGGGAACTAAACCCAGAGCCTGGTGCATGCTACGCGGAGGCTCTACCCCTGAGCTGCATCTCCGAGAACTGACTGCCAACCTTCCAGATGCTTCTGAAGGCAGAGGTCTCCTCATTACCACTGGGTGCTGCTCTCTCCATAAGTCCAGAAAAATAGAAGTCAGTCACCCCCTAGTGGAGCTTCCTGGAAAGGGGGGGCTCCGGAACCCCTGGGGTAAGGCTCAGACAAAGCAGATCTTTTGGAGATGAGATGGGTCCTATGCAGGTGATGGACTGGTTGGTCCTAGAGTGCCTAGGGACTGTCCCCTCCCCAGCTCCTCCTCTGACTCAAGAGATGGGATTAGTGCTGCATTCCTTACCCCTGTCACCCTTTATGCTGTTAAGTGCTTTATAGGCTCCAATTTGCCAAGCGCCCCACCCGAGGGTGCCTGCCCAGCAGTCAAGGCTTCTGAGAGTGCCCAGAGACAAGACCAAACCTCCCTGTCCCAAGCTTGGAAGGCCTCCCCAGGGAAGCCCCCATTCAACCTCCAAGGATGGAAGCTTCCAAGAACTCTCCCCTCCCCTGAAGAACAGAGGATGTGGGACACAAGATGCAACCACTCAGGGCACAAACCATGGAGAAGATTCCAATATGTCACAAGATATGAGGAGCCACGGGAGGGCTGAGCACAAGGTTATGTGTCTACCTCGAGTCCTCCTTTCCCTGGTTCCCTGAGAATATACACAAGAACCTCACCCCACAAGCATCCACGGTATTCAGATGCAGTAGACTTCAGTTTGGTCTTCAATAGGACTGGAATCTGTGGATGTAGTCAATGCCTGTCTACAGCATTTGAGCTTTCAGACCTCAGAGAGTGAAGCTGGCAGTACACTGTGGTGACATGCTTCTTGGTAAACCACTTGCAGCCCAATAATTCCATGCTGAAGAATTTGCCAAGAGTTCAAGACCAACCCCACTATCTGGGCCCGAGCAGCCTCTCACCTTTTGCTCCTTTGTGTTTAAGCATCATCACTAAGGCCTCCGTAAGCTGATTGCTTGGGGCTCTGGAGTCCCCTCTTTGAAGCTGTCTTCTCTGAGATGGACACCCTATTCCTCACCATCACACAGTTCATCTAGAGACCCCAGAAGTCCTTACCAGTTGCCTCTTCTATCACAAACTCCTCATCTTCAAGAGAGCAGACCAGGGCTGGAGCTGAGCTGGCAGAGCGCTTGCCTCCCACAGAGTTCTGGGTTGCCTCCCCAGTGCAACAGAACGCAGGTGTGGAGGTACACGCCTGTAATTCTAGCACTTACGAAGTGTTGGATCAGAAGTTCAAAGTCATTCTTGGCTACACAGTGCGTTTTGTGACCTTGTCTCGGAGAGGTGAGTGGGGGCTGCAACCTCAGTCATCCTCTAGTATTAATTGCTTTGAACTGTTACAGTACGCTGGTACTCAGTCTTTTCAGCTCTGGGTTCTGGGCCCACCTCCCCCCCTACTGTGAACTCTCAGAGGACAGGTATGTGTCTTACTCATGCATTCCCAGCACCTAACATTCTGTGGGTCCCTGCCTAGTTAGCGCACACACAATGTGCAGTGGTTTTTAAGTTGCTGGAGCTCCAAGGAGTGATTCAGTGATGAGATTTCCTACAGGGAGATAATTGGGTGAGGGACGGTAAGGAAGGGCCATTCTCTCAAATTGTCATCATTAGTGGATATCTGTGGTGGGTCTCTACTGGTCGGGCAAACCAAATGGGAGAGAGAGAGGTGGGGAAGAGGAGGAGGGAGAAGGAGGAAGCTGGAGAGGAAGGGGAAAACGACCAAGAGGAGAGGAGCAGGCGGGAGAGGAAGAAGGTACAATAGGAAGAGGAAATAAAGGAAGACAAAGAGCAAGAAGCTAGGAGGAGGAAGATGAGGAAGAAGGGAGGAAGATGAGAGGATGTAGGAGGAAGAGAGGATGAGAAAGAAAGGTGTGGATAAAGGGGAAGGCAGAAGGAAAAAAAGAGGAGGAAGGGAAGGGAAAGGGAGAAGAGGGGAGGGGGAGGGAGAAGAAAGGAGAGAAGGGAAGGGGGGAGAGAGAGGGGAGCTAACTGAAGGAGGGAATGTGGTTCCTCCCTCCCCGGGCTGCGTTGGAACCAGGCTGGGCTCTGCATCTGCGGAAACTCCTGCATGTCAAGGCATGAATGAAGGCTAAGAGGAAGACAGCCAAACTGGAAGGCAGCCCAAGACCCATTGCCAGGAAGGTGTGCACCCAGGAAAGTGGCAGTGACAAGGATACATTATTGGCTCTGTGGTCCTCCTCTCACACTCCCTCCACCCTGCACCTAGCTGGCTGAGTTGGGCAGAATGGTGAGTCCTTTAGTGGCTTTCTGGGGACATGAAAGGGAGTGGCCCAGCTGAGACCATGGTGGCTGGGGGGGATCAGGAACCAAAGGAACACTGGGATTAAAGTTTCACTTACCTGCCTCGAAAGTGCCCAGGCCAGGATTCCAGGGTGCTGAGTAAGGCAACAGTCGCAGAATGGATAAGGGAGAAAGCACTGGCCACTGGTTGTGTGAATGGCCAAGGGGATCCCTGCTGCCTCTTGCAGGTGATGGCAGCCTCACTACTACCTCCTCTCGTGATGTGGCCCCTTCCTCACAGTCCTAGACGGACACCCATTGCCTGAAGGTCCGGCTAGTAAGAATAGGGTGAGACCATCCAGGAGGCAGAGGCGGGATGGTGAGTTGAAGGCTAGCCCGGGCTAATAGTGAGGCCTCCCTCCAATCCCCAGCAAAATATGAGAATGGAGTGAGGAGCTAGATGGAGATTTAGGAGAGAAAGATTTCTATATGTGCATGAATGAGGGATCAGAGAGAGGGGGACATCCATTTGGAAGAGACCAAGAAAGACAGGTAAAGAAAGGCAGAGAAGGGATCAGCTGGCTAAACCTTGATCTGCCTCGTGCATGTAAGTGACAACGAAATAAATGGGATCTAATCAGAAACCAGTGTATGCTGACAAACCTGAACCCCGATGACAGAATGAACCTCAAGCTTGGCCTCACACTAAACTTAACACTGGCTTCAGACTTACTGCTAAACCTGTATTCAGACTCATCCCTAATCCCAACAACTCCAGCTACACTGAGCCTAACCTTGGCAGCTGGCTAGCCGCCAAACTGAGAAGATCTGAGGAGAGATCATGAAGATATCTTCTAGAATAATCCCACAGCTGGCAGACTCCCTGGGACGGCACTGAGATGGTTGGATGTGGTTGTAAGTCTGGAAATGCCCGTGTTTCTCTAGCACAGCCCTGAACCCCTTCCCAGGTAGCTGGAATCTCACCACCATCCCCTCTCTTTCCTTGCCAGTTGGGTCTTCCCATTTTTCCATGACTCTGGTGTCTTGCCAATCCCGTATCCCTTTGGTATGATTTGGATATGACCAATCCTCCCAAAATTCACATGCTGGCAAAGGTGCTGAAGTGTGGTACCTTTGAAAGACGAGGCCTAGGAGAAGGTATGTGGTACATGGAGGCTGTAAGTTGCAAGTAGACTAATGCTACCTCACGGAAGTGTGTCATTCTACCTAATGGAAGTGTGACTGGGTCAGTTACGACAAAACGGGCCATGATGAAGTGAGACCACCTCACCCCTTGGCCCTTCCTTTAGTGAACATTCAGTGTGTCACAGAAGTGTGCCAGTGCCATGGCACATAGCCCAACATGCCTTGTTTCTTTATATATCACCCAATAGCAGTTACTCTGTTATCACAACACTAGGACTCCTACTTAAGGTACCCCAAGACCAGTCTTACCCACCAAGACTAAGCATTGCCTCCTGCTCTTCTAGAAGGCTCTGTCCTTCCCCAGAACACCTACCATGATGTGAATTAAGAATCCACCTAAGGCGTCTAGAAACTTCTTCAGTGGTCTTCTTTTTCTTTTGGCCATTAAACAAATCGTTTATTGCTTGACAACTATCAGAATCAAGTCTGTGGGTATATTTTATGTAGCGTTTCAAACCTATAGTTTTAGAATTCACATAGGAAATTGAGTATTTCAATAAGCAAAAGTGACAATAGCTAACTATACAAAGATTATCTGGTTTTTTTTTTCTTTTAGGGCTTTCCCTCCCCTCATTTTTATTAGTTCCTAGAGGATTATACACAATATATTTTGATCGTGCCCCCATCTTCTCCTCACTTCTCCCATATTGGCATACCCCCAACTTCCTCAACGCTGTCTTCTTTAAAAAAATCATCAAATACAATCTAGACACATCCTGCAGCTGTGCATGTGAAGCCACAGCGGTTGAGACATCATGCACAAGCTCAAGCTAGACAAGATCCCACCTGGGCTCCTGGGAAAGGAGAGTCTGCTTTCTATTGTCTTCCAAAACTGTAGCTCTCATTTGCAGAGGGACTGCATATGTGATGTAACATACACTACCTAGGGATGGACACATACAATGAATGGCTGCTTGTGATAATCTTTTACCCCAGCACTCAGGAGGCAGAGGCAGGCAGATCTCTGAGTTCAAGGTCAAACTGGCCTACACAGTGAGTTCCAGGCCAGCCAGGACTGCACAGTGAGACTGTATCTTAAAAACATCAGCAATCACAAAATCTGGTGAAAAATCTCTGCTTCTTCATTCCTCCCCTTCCAGGACATTTGCAACCTTTAAGGTGATTTTTGGTAAGTGTGTGTGTGTGTGTGTGTGTGTGTGTGTGTGTGTGTGTGTGTTGCGTACAATTTGTGTAGGTTGTTTTCTAGATAAATCAGATTAAAAAATTTACTTCCTGCTACAGCAGATGGATGGGGTGTAGTTACACTATCCAAACATTGATCTTCTAACAGAGTTGAGTCAATGTTGCCAGATGTGAGCCAGAGAGCATGATGGAGACCAACTTCTCTCCCAGCAGTTTCTGCTCTCCCCTGCTGTAGATACCTCTCATGTACTATTTGCCTGTCTTTGTCAATACACCTCCAAATTCATGGAAGAACCACAGACCCCTCCGAGGAAACCTACATCTCAAGGCCCCTGTTTTTCTGAGGGCATCCCCGTGGACCACTGCGCACAGCTGTGTATCTCTGCTACCATCTGCTCTTCAGCGTGGACCACTGCGCACAGCTGTGTATCTCTGCTACCATCTGCTCTTCAGCGTGGACCACTGCGCACAGCTGTGTATCTCTGCTACCATCTGCTCTTCAGCGTGGACCACTGCGCACAGCTGTGTATCTCTGCTACCATCTGCTCTTCAGCTTCAGCGTGTCTGTTCCAGGGCTCCTTCGGCATCTTGTGAACTCGTGTTGCTTTCGCTGCATGTGGTGCTCCGTGAGCTCTTCCTGGGGAGTCATGAGCAAATGTCTGTTCACTGAAGTATCCTTCCGTCACTCAGATTCTAGCCTAGGCCAGATATTTTCTGTGATGGCTTTTCAATGGCATCAGCTATGGAACCTAAAACTAAAATATTGTTAGCCCAGAGCATGATTTCAGTGGTCTACAGTGAGTCAGACACAGAATATGTGTTGCTCTAGACCAGTGTTCCTCAACCTTCCTAATGCTGCGGCCCATTAATATAGTTCCTCATGTTGTGGTGACCCCCCAACCATAAAATTCTTCATAATTGTAATTTTGCTACTGTTATATGAATTGTAATGCAAATGTCTATGCTTTCTGATAGTCTTAGACAACCACTGTGAAAGGGACATTCAACCTCGAAGGGGTCGTGGTCCCCAGCTTGAGAACCACTTTACTAGAGCCAGTATCTTCTGGTTGTTAGGCAAGAGGTCAGTTCCAAGAGGGGCTGACAGACAGGAACCCAAGGTAGGACCTAAAGAACAAATGGTGGGCCAGCCCAAGGCTGGAATAGGGTGTAGAGATCATGCTGGAAGTTGGCTGTTGGTCAAGATATAAAGGCAGTGACAATGGCTGACGCCAGATGGCCAGCTTAGGATGTGAGGGACAACAGCTGATAGTGGTCCATGCTTGCTAAGTCAGATTAAAGCAACTTCAAGACATCCTCTCCAGGGAAGCATGTGCAAAAGGGCTTTTGTCCTCTCCCTAAGTGAACTCTTCAGCTTTGGGATACTTCAACCCTATACATAGTCTTGCATCTTAGGCTAATTTCTGAGAAAAGCATGTGAACGTCCTAGAAGTGCCACCCTGGGAAAGGTGCAGGGGAGGGAGCAGGAGAAAGAGAGAGAGAGAGAGAGAGAGAGAGAGAGAGAGAGAGAGAGAGAGAGAGAGAGAGAGGGAGGGAGGGAGGAAAACAGAGAGAGAGAGCGCCCATGCTAGCCTCAGTAGAGGCTGTTGCAACTTAGCTCACTCCCTCTTCTAAACT